ACAAGCAATAGGAGCTCATGGCAGGACAGAAAAGAGTGGCTTTATAATACATTGGCAGAAATGTCAGTGGATGATGATTTAACAAGGACAGTGAAGTACACATCAGCTATTGTACCAACATTATGTCAGACATTATCCACTGTCTGAAGTATATTTGATATACATGATGTTTTAGGATACACTTCCATCTTCAGGTGATTGTCATTATACTGACAGATTTGTTATAACATTTTAGTTTTAATATTAGTGCTGATGGTCAAGTTTCAAACCAGAACCATTTAAATACTAGGCTAGTGTGCTAATCACCGATGGTTAGGAAGCCTCTTGGAAAATATCCACTTGAAAGACAGAAAATTAAATGGGAGGATAACATTAAGCTGGATCTTAGGTCATGAGGATAAGAGGCGGTGGGAACTGAAGCAATATCTTGTCCAATAGCAAGCTTTTGTGTTGATGATTTTAAACTTTCAGATTCTACTAGCTCAGTCTCAGTCTGTATGACTTTCAAACCTTGTTGCATTTATATGTACACATCAATAAACTGCAGCTTGTTGTGTTGGCATAATGACAGTACCATAAGATTCGACAGTGTTGAATTGGGCAGATGGTAGGCATACAACTCTATTTGCTCAGCTGTGGGATGCAGGCCTGCCTTGGTGATGGGTTCTGGCAACTGCGACAGCAAATTCTTGAGTGTCCACAAGTCTTCTGGTTTAAATGTTGTTACAAAGCCCTGCAAGAAGTCAGCGCTCAATAACTGAAATTCACACCTGCAAATTAATTAGTTTTTTGTACCATTGGTACCTCTCTTTATGACTGCTCTCATGAATGCTCTTCTCTTTTTTGCAAGTGGTTTCCCTTCTCATAGCATATTAAATACACATTTACAGTATGAGGAAGAAGCTGTCCAACCCAGTTTCAGTTATTTATTTATTAGGAAAGAAATATCAGTTTATAATGCCTACATTGAAATGCACAAACCTTCATGTGCTGTGTGCCATACCGTCCAGCTCTTCCTGCAATCTGCAGAGCTTGTGATACTGAAATGGTGTTCATCTCTTTCTCTCCCTTCTCATTGACTGTCGGCTTCATCAAGGAGTAGAACACGACACGTCGGATGCTCCTGTAAAATGAACGGAACATCTAGGCCTGAACATCACGGTATAGTAGCTAGTGCTCGTGTTTCGTATTCAGAAGGTTGACATGTCATCTCGGTAAGGTTTCCATTAGTTTCTCAGTCTATCAGAATGCTCAATCCACAATCATCCCTAAGGAGTTAATATAATATGCCAATTAAAGACCATGCTGTAAGCGATCTTGTTCTACAGTCAGTCACATATCCAGGCATCACCCCAATCTTTAAGTTCTCACAATAATGTTAAGTAGATGGTGAACATGTAAAACTTAGATGGGTTACCACATTTTTGTGCCTTTCAATACTGTGAAGAAGAATTATCTAATGTACGTGATTAATTATACTTGTGATCCATTCTAATGAATCACTTCAATATATGGTTAGAAAACACACACTAAGAAACAGGAAACAAAGAACATTCAAGGATTATGAAGAAAGGCTCAACCACCACACCTCTTCTTCTATCCCGTCAATATCAGATTCACAATTAATGTTCATGCGGTACCCACTGTTACAAAGTGGTACACAAAACAGTATAAACAAATTTATGATGTGGTGTGACTCACAAGTTCAATCCCATGCCAATGGCATCCGTAGCTACCAGAACCTTGCAGGAGTTCTCAGGGTCATTAAATTTCTGGGCCTGTGCAAGCTTTGTGCCTGGAGGCAAACCACCATAAATAACAGCAACCTCATGCCCCTTGGCTTCAATGCCCCGTGATATTGAGTATATGTCATGTTTGCTGAAGCAAACAATGCAATCTCCAGGTTGCACCGCATCCATGGAGCCAACTGCCGAGTCCTCCACCTCCAAATCTGTCAGGCGTTTGTATTTTCGTACCTGCACATGTGCATATAGAGCCAAGGTTGTAAAACCCTTAAAGTCATATTCACAATGATTTTCAATACAGAGTTTGCAGGTTCATATGGAACCTCTTGCTTCAACTTGTTAGTAAACACCATTTAACAGCAAACAAAAGCAACACTGACATGTACTCCTAGTTTATTAGTCTGAATAATTTTACTGCTGAATTCCAGAATCGAAGAACAGAAAAACTGCTATAATCCATGTTAATTGAGTGAAGTTCAGGGCATAATATTATGGGAATTTTTTCTGCTTCAATGACAAAATGTTACAGTCCAGGACTCCCATTGAGTAGGTGCTCTTACATTGGTGATGACAGGATAGAGGCAAACTTTCCATATCTTCTGCCATAAGTTTAGGTCTAGTCAAAATTACATTGACTTAAAGTTGTGTGTTGGGCACAAGCACAAACTGTTATGATCTGAACAGTTATTTTAGTGCATAGTGATTATATTATTATTACAATGTTTCTGGCTCAAAACTTTAATAATGTACCCAGCCATGCACATAAATCAATGCACCACTTAGGACATAATACACAGAATTCTTCAGTCCTAGAGAACTTCTTCATTATATAATTCATACCTGTCTGCAACTTAAGATAACAAGTTAAGAGAAAAGCAGACACCTCGATATCCTCTCCTGTTGTTGACAAGAGAGACTGGACTAGCTCAATAGCTCCCTCCTCACCACACACGTGAACCTCTTCAGCCATCACACCAAGCAGAGCCCTAGTCCATGCCCAGCCTCGCCCTGTATCCCTCATCATCTGGATCTCATCAATAATGGCCACCTCATCTGTGGAACATAATTAACATCTTTACCACAATAAACTCTCCTTAGTTTAAAGTCTCGCCGTGGCATAGGTCAAATAGCTTGTGAAGACGCTTGAATTTAATTCAAGGGCAGTTCATGGCTGATCTGTTGTGTGTAATGTGGCACTGGACAGGCTTACCTCCAGGTACTTTGGTTGTCTCTAACTGTCATTCCATCATTGCTTAAAAATCATTTATCATTTTCCATTACACATTTCTGCTCTATGAGAGACTGTAATATTTAACGAATTACCCACATTTCAGTATATACAGAATAAAATGATTTCATATTATAAATACATAAAATTTTAAATTACCCACATAGTAAATCGAACTGCATCCATCTTGACAGACAATGTTATTGAGTTTTTAAGCCAATACTTACCATGTTTACATAGTTATTTTCTGAGCTGTTGCACTGTGAAGAATTTGGTTGTGTACTGACAGAGTCACATTGTGTCCACACACCCAAAATTCCACACAGCACAACAACATAGAAGACCACCATCTATATTCATATCACCTTGAAAACCTCAAATCCTGCAATGTTTACACATACCTG